ACTGGTGATGCCCCAAGGCTGTCAATTGCACCAGCAACATTTCATCGTCTTGTGACGCAATTGTTCAGGCCCACTGCATGCGCACGAATAAGCTGTATGCTAGTGCCGATAAGTATACATTCGGCGCGGAAAAATTCCCTTTTCATGGTGCTTCATTGGTAAGCGTGGTCTTCGAGCGAATCCCGCAAAGGTCAAGGCCATTGCAGACTGGCCATACCTAATGAATCAAAAGAACTTGCGCAAGCGGCTTAGCTTCGCCAACTACTTGCACAAGTACAGCGCAAAATGTGCGGAAACGGCACGGCCATTGTCGAATCTCCTAAGAACGGTAAGGAACGGTGTCGGAACATTGAGCATCGGGAGGCTTATGACAGGGTCAAAGACAGCCTCCTTCATGCGTAAATACTGGTGTTGCCAGACCCCGATCGTCCTATTAATGTAGCCTTTGACGCTTCGGACTTTGTCATCGGTTGTGTGCTTCTGCAAGCAGACGCCGAGGGGCGAAATCGGGCGATCGCTTTCGAATCTAACTAGTTTCAGGCTGCGGAGAAGAACTACCCAGTCCACGACAAGTAATTACTTGCCATGATGTATGCACTTGTCAAGCTCAGGGTGCGCCTGCTTGGCTCTAAGCCTTTTGTGATCTACACAGATCATGCGGCACTACGCACTACGGCATAGTCGCCTCACCTCTCGCAAAGGATGACCAGGTGGCTCTCATTCTTCGCAGAATATAACTTCGAGGTGGAGTATCAGCCAGGAAAGCAGAATGTTTTGCCTGCTGCGTTGTCTTCCAGGCCGATTTCTGAGCCTGCTCATGTCACGACGGTGACATCGTCAGTGACGGATTTCATCCGCGCCGTTTACGCGGGCGGCGGTATGTGTGTAGATTTGCTACAAGCTTTCGAAAGCAAGGAGTTTGGAAACTCGGACAAGGAATTGTCGGCACGATTGCACGCACGTTTATACCGTTATCCGTTTAGTAACGGGTTGCTGTATTATAGCACTAAACTCAACGGATACGCCTCAAAGTGTGGTTCTCACGATGAGGATTTGAAATTCCGTATTCTTTATGAGGCCCACGACACCCCACTCAGTGATCATCTCAGTCGTGAGAGGACGTACAGCACTGTGTGTTGCCGCTACTGGTGGTCCAAGCTGTACAAACGGACGAGCCCTATTTGCGCACGTGTAAGAAGTGTCAGAGGGTTAAACCCTCTCTGAATGCGGTGGCGCCGCTAGCTCGTTTCCCGGTATCCTCCGAGACTTGGCAGTTCATGAGTTTGGACTTTGTGTTTGGCCTGCCGAAGGAATTGGTGGCAAAATGGTGTGGTGGTATTTGTCGACCGTTTGAGCAAGATAGCTTATCTTGCTGCAGTTTCGGACACCATTGACGGTGTGGGTACAGCGACGCTGTGTGTCGATCGTGTCGCGCGTCATTGGGAAGTTTGGTCTACAATCTTTAGGGTGCTGGACATCCAGCTGACTTTGTCAACAGCGGACCATCCGCAGACCGATGGTAAGACTGAGCGAGTGAATCGTGTCGTTAAAGACGCTCTCCGCAGCGTCTGCGCTAAGGTGCCGAATCTTTGGAGCTTCATACTGTTTCTTGTGGAGTTTGCCCTAAACAATGAAGTGCATGCGTTTACCGTCTACGCGCCGTTCTACGTGAACGGGCTTATTAATCCTCGCATCCCGCTGACGTCGCGAGCCCATGGCTCATGGCTTGGTGGGGGAGGAATAGCCGAGCGGCTAGCTGATGTCGCCCCCTCACTGTCCTGTTCACCATACTGAGTATCTTACGATACGTTTGCGGTGTGATGGCTGAAAGCCAAGGCATGCAGAAAGAACATGCAGACGGAAGAAGCAGAAGAAATGCTGAAAACATTGAGGTCGGAGACCTGGTTTTATTAAATGCTAAAAAACTTGCTTCAAGTCGAAACTACGTCCACGGTTTATCGGACCATTTAAAGTCATGGCCAAGAAAGGCCGTTCGTTTTTGCTAAACCTCCAAGAAGGATGCGCTCCCACCCGGTGTTTATGTTGGCTTGCTATAGCCGTACCGGGACCCGGCGCAAGTGAACGTTGAAGCGTTGGTGCCGGGGCGGCACCCAAAGGCGTTAGGCCACCTAAAAGCTGAACCAGCAAATGTTTCTAGCACGGAGTACATCAATTTCCGTTTCCAACGGCGCCAGGCGCTCCACCATCGCACGAATGATGCATTCGTCGCTCAACGGCTAGGAGCCGCTCCGACTGAGCACGGTAGCCCTCAACGTTAGACAGTTGGTGCACAAAGTGCTCCAAGCTCTCGAGGGCTTCCGCACAGCGGTATGCGACTCGGAAAGATGCTCGGCGAAGTGCCGATGACGACAGACTTTGTCCTCAAGAGCTCGAAGAGCATCGCGAGTCACCGACAGCGACCGACCAGGTCGTCATCGTCCGTCGCTGACTCTTCTCGATGAGAACAATGGCGTCCACTATCAATTGGGACGCCTAATGGGTCGTCGTCGTCGACAGTGTCAAACCCAATATCTTGTGAAGTGGCGAGGATGCCCCAGCTCTGAGAATTCGAGGGAGTTAGAGGTGCCACTTCGGCAAGACTGCTCAGACGATGTGAACGCTTATGGTCAGAAGCATCATGACGATCTGCGTCGTCGTACGCCCCGCTCTTCTCGGCGACAGCCCGGGAAGCCGAATGCCATGAGTTGAGCACAAGCTATGGCCCTGAGTTACTGTGGTCATTGACTCACCCGTGTGAGAAGCCACAGATCTTGCGTGAGCGTGATGGACTATTCTATATGTCGCAAGGCAACAATACGTAGAAAGTTGGCGTTGCGCCTTGAGTTTGGCATGCTCGAATGGATGATGGCGTTCTATGCGCACGTCCTCTTACTTGTGGCTTCGATGTAACTTAGACTGCGAGAAAAATTTCCAGTGTCGCATCACCCATCGCTCAAAGAGCTCTTCATCATCTGCATCGAATTCACCAGTGGCGAGCACCACAGAAATCGTTCGCAATACGGGTATAGGAGTCCCTTCTTTTTGAGCTCGAAATCGAACGTGGAAACTATACCTTGAATTACTTTAGGTACCAAGAAGCGAGCTCGGAGAGCTTATCGTTGGTCATGCTCAGCTTGTGTAGTGGCCAAAGGTCCAACTGCGTAGACGCCGAACGATCGAGCGATTGCGTCTTTCGCTTCAGTAGCAAGATCCGTCGAGCGGAAGTTGTATTCCACACGAAGGTCTTTGACCGGCCGAGGATGCGCGCGCATAGCCGTAGCCTCTAGCTACGGCTCCTGACCCTCGTCGAGACAATTAGTAATAATACCACTTCCTCCAGAAGTCGAGAAGTTGGGACACGATGTCCGAGAGGTTTGCACAGGGCTCACGTCGCGCCGTTGGCGCACCTCGCCCCCTCTTCTTCCCATCCCAATACACGAAAAAACACCAAGCCTTGCTGGTTCAGGGCGCCCAAACTGAACCAGCAAGGCTTGGTGTTTATTCGTGTCATAGACGCAGGGATAGTTGAGCAGAGAATGCGTTAAGACGGTCCTAGGAACGTAAAGTTGGCTTAGACACGCGAGCCTTGTACAATGCAACAATTCAATGTGCATAATAGGTATTCACACTTTTGATGGGGAGAATGCATCGGGATTTCACGTAACCTGGTAAGAAAGGGCGGATCACACAAGGTGGTGTGACCGTACAATGGTGTGGATAACACATGACAGTGTAATCACACAATGATTTGGCTACTCCATAAAAAGAAACCAGTACGTGGCGGGGCTGCCAGTAGTTATGCCCATTAATTAGGTTTTACTAATAAAATAGTGGAACCTAGGGTTTTAAATATAGGCGGCTCTGCCGCAAATAAACCGATAAATACAGTTATACTTTTGAGCGGAAGAGTATATCTGCCTTAAATTAAGGTTTCGGGTACTCTTGAAGGTAGCGGATTGCAATCCGCTACGCTCATACTCATTCTTGTATAGAATATAAGTTCGGTGACCTAAGTATCCTTCCTCTATGCAAAGAGCTACGGCACCCCGCCGAACTATAAGTGGCGTACATTAAGAATCAGCTTTATCAAACACAAATACTGAAGATATAAATGTACTGTGTTCAGTAATAAATTATATGTACTGCGCAACGTGAAGCTATCAGCCTATGTGTCTCTCGAATTTTTAAAAAATTTATCATCCTCACCTGTTCCTGTACCCTAATGCATCTGAGCTTTGCGCAAAAGTTTGTTGAATGCGTTCACTAGGAGATGGTCCGTTCGGTTTTAGCCCAACAACCACCTAGTTGTAGACCACACTGAAATAAACATATCATTTCATCTTCAAAGCCATTACGCAATCGTGAACGGCCAACGAGTACCTACTGTGCGTAAGGTTTACCCCATCCACGACTTGTACCATTTGCTCCTGCTATTACGACCCCAATCTGCATCGGAAATCTTTCTCTTGGGTGCCACTACAGCTTAACGAGCCCTGGAAAAGTTAGGAGGTCCTCTCGACCGAGGATCTTGGAGCCTAGCTCGAAAAGTATGCCTAATCGTACTATGAGGAGAACGGTGATAGTAAATTTACAACTCGCAACCCACAACCTCCGTAGACAACGTCAACCAAAGAGGATGCGCTCGCTACGCCGATACCCCCCGCACAAATTGTGCACTTCATGCCGGTGTAAAATGTTGCGACCAGTTGTTACAAGACTCGCGCTAGGGACCATCTCGTTACCATTCAGCTGATCCTGGTTCAAAGGGTCGTCTGCAAGCGTAGACTCGCAACAAATGTCGCGGACTCCACCACGTCATGTATGTGGATTTTATTCACTAGTAGTCGCCTTGCGAGCGCTTTCTACCCCCCCCATCACCACATCATTAATGTATCAACTAAGCCTGGAGCCGGATTACGGTACAGCTTGAGCTAGCCCACATAAAATACCGGGTGGTGCGCATCCGTTTCGGAAGGCTTAGGGTATGCGCAAGGCCCCGCTTGGCCATAACCTTTAATGGTACGATAAACCGTGGACGGAACTTCGTCTTAAAGGCAGCAGAAATTGCACGGGTAGGTTGTCTTTCAGCAATTACTAAAAACCAGTTGGACTGCAATTAACGAGTCGAATTGCATGACCAAGACCAGATCTACTTCTTCAAAAGATTTTAAGGATGACGGGGTAGTATAAAATTGGATGGTTCCTGTAGATGCATATAATACGTTACACAATGCAAATGCAATGAGCGGAAACATTTCTCTCCAGCAACGTGGTGTATCGGGGTGGTAAGTGTCCCAAGCGATTTACGCACTTCATTTGAGCATCGTTCAATGTATGGTCAGCGGTGAACGTTTCAAAATAAGAGTTCAGGACCTCATAAGAACATTGCTAAAATGCACAAATATTTGATAATAGCCACAGGCAAACTATGTTGACTTTAGGAACGGCTTGGCCGTATCCTTACCGACTATGGGTTTTGCTGACAGCAGCGCGGCAAGTCATTTGGCTCAGATTGTCTATGAGACGACCATGGCGAAATTGATAGACGTATTTTTTTTTATGCTATCACGATTCGTTTGTTGTACTCACCACAAGAGCTTTCAAGTGCAACGGGGTCGCCTCGCACCTTGAACAGAGGAATTTTCTATTTAAAAAGGAACGTTACGTATAGCTCGACATGAGGTCTTAAGCCTACGTATCTCGTGAAGCTCTTCACATATTTCTACCGCTCTAATCAGCAGCAGTTCATGAGGACTTTTGACCTTGACATATAATGATTCTTGTGCGTACATCATAACACAATACGTAACTCGTTTTATTTTTAGTTTGTGAGATCTATCCTGGGGGTACTCTACCTGTAAAGGAGTGCGACACTTGTCTAAACCCCACTTAGAGAGTCCTTATTGCCCTCTCCAGCAGGAGTTGCTGTTGTCAAAACTTTATTACCTGCTCGAGAGCTGTGAACTCACAACGACATCAGGGTCAAATCGATGCCGATAACACCACACAGAACAAATTCTAGCGCTTAAGCGTCTTGTAAACCCCTAACACATGACTCACCAAAGCTTTGTTAGAGCCAAGAGCTGGCTGGCACCAATGGCCTTGCTGCGCCATTCGCCAAATCTGCCATGTTCACTAAGGTTCACCTGTTTCCTTTGATCTTTTGCAGCCCAAGAAAAATTTTTTTTGCGATGCCTGGCATCATGCGGAGTTCTCGAAGCACCAAGGCCTATCGTACCCTCAACACTTGCGTGTACATCAAGCAGGCCTCCGCTGCTTTTGCTCCCAATTGCGATCCCGAGTTTTGGAGGCTCGAAGCTCACCGACACTGATGTGAACTCAGTATTGACCAAGTAGGGTGCCCCACCTGACAATCATCCCTGTATTTTGGTTGGGCTTCTGCTCTTGAGCCTACGACCCACTTCAAGGAAAAGATGAACGTATTCTCTGCCCCAATCTACTAGCCGGGCAGTCACATACTATGAATCCCGCCATCCCGTGGCAGAAGTACGAACATGTATAGACTGAACTCCGGCACTAAATCCATCGTCAAAGCCTTCACTCGGAATAGCTGGTTGAGAATCAGGCCTATGCTTAGATCTTTCGATAGATGCCGCCGCTTCAAAATGTTTGGGTAAGGGGCTTTTCTAATTAAACATATCGAGATATTGTCAATAAACGCGTCTTGTGAATATTCATCTTGTGCATTCCCTGCTCGATAGCAAAAAAAGCGCAAGCGCTGGCGGAATTCTGCGGTGGGAAGGCAGCACGCGGCTCCTCACATAGTTGCGGCATGAATGTAAAACGCTCAGGCGTCATTACTTTACACGTATACACCGAGCGGTTTGTCTGGTAATTTAGATTTGAAAGGGAAAATGGAGTGAGTCGCTCATCTGTGATCAGAGCTGTATCCTTGGCTAGCTTCGACACCCGGGTTATATATTGGGTGGTTCCACCTTTTCTCTCTTCATGGAGATAATATTGAGCTTCAAAGACTTGATATATAATGGGGTTGTATTTTTTTACCATAATTGACGAACCATCCAATATTCGTTCTGGTCGAACGCCTCCGTATTTTCTTAAGCTTCTCGGTTTGCGATGATTGAATCGAGCATCTAGAGCCACACTCCAAAGATGCTTGCAATCTAATGATTGGACTAATACTAATAGCTCTTCAAGCGGTTAAAATCTTTTCGATTGTAAGCACAATGAATTAGGTGTTTTCTATCTATGGGTCGTTAATGTGTATACAGCTCCTTGTTTTATGAAGACTAGGGAGTGTTCAAAACTCCCAGTAAAGAATCATTTTTCTGACCTATAAAACTTGTACTAGGATTGGAACGCTAAAGATTGAGTGCATTTATGTTAACGTATATATTGTCTTCAAATTTTTATAAAGCACAGCAAAACCTAGTAACTGCCCTCGGCTTAGTTGCTATCTTTTCTGGAAGCCCTGAGGCCATCAGTTGTGATCTGATGAGCCACCAATGTTTTGACATTGAGTAGTCTAGGCTAAAACAGGTGCTGAATACAATTTCATTGAACGTTGAAAAGCATCAGTTTGTCGTCGCTATCGAGTCAGGCGTAAGCGTGCAGTATTATGCAATTCTGACATAAAGCCATATATCAAAAGTTCATTTAATACCGCAATTGTCGTGTATAATGTTGCGCCAACGTGTATGTCTGCATATTGTCCACTGCATTTTAACTCTTTGGTAGAAGGTTATGACTCAAATGCACCGGTAGTCTCTTTACCGCGAGGATTAGCCCAAAGAAGCGACGCGTATCTTATCATTGATTGGAAATCCTCCTTGCACGCCATCCTAAAATTCCCCGGCCCGAGAAACTATGGTGAACGTAATTCTTGTTTGCTTAGGCGCGGAGGCAGGAGTGTCAATGTCGTTGAGATCGAGACATAAAAGTAGAGTTTGACGATGAGCTTGAAGTTGGTGGCAACTGTGATGATCGATGGAGATGGGCACCTCCAAGGCAGTGAATGGGCACATCCCGCATTGTTTTATAAATAAATTGCACTCCGACATTATTTTTGGGCTCGCTGGGGGTGAGAATAGCGTGATAGTGGCGCGGCTGGATTACCAGCAAATTGATCTATTATGAATCAGTGGCAATACAAAGGAATGCGCACCGGATCTTCGTGTCGTTGGTGCAATCATTCGCATTGCTTTACGACTTTGGTTATGCCGATGTCCCATACTTCGGTGACAGCTCAATGCTGTCAAGAATTGACGATAGACATAGTTAAAGAAAGAGAACCGTGATTGGTGTTGGATACACGGAGCGACCGCATAATTCAGCGCACAAATTGTCGTATTCACGACGACAAAGTTTCGACTGCAACCGAAGGGAAATCGAACATCATTCTTCCGCATGCTCTTTTCGCTAATAACAAGGTCGACAGATACAAAAGTATTGCGACTAGAGTAATCGTGGTATGGATAACGACAGATCTTGAAAAGAAATGTGAAGATGAGTTTTTGCTTTGCTTATGTTGAAGATTTGGGCGCTTGAATTTGTCGTACTGAATTAGATCCTATGTACATTCAGTCATCAAATTAATTTGTGTATCGATCCCCTTAAATATGCTTAACACGATAAGTATATCATTAATGACAATAGAAGATGGCATTCTCGCCTAAAAATACTTTCGTGCACGCGTGCTCTATGGTCCATAGAATCCAAATTTTGATGTCGAGGTTAAGATTAACATTGAAAAGAAACTCGAATATATATATATATTGGTTCTCATGCCTGGGCGATATTTGCGTACGCTTTCATGTCCTTGATCTTCCGATCGACCGTCGTCTCGAGCTCCAACTTCATATCCAGTATGAGATCCAGGTGCCCCATTCGCGCGATGGTCGTTTTTATGTTGAATTTCCAGTGAACATACTTGTCATTTCCAAGCAAGTCGTTGGCTTTCTTCATCTTACCGCACAGTCAGGCAAGGTTTGGACTCATAACGTGATAAGTAGACAATTTTAGAAAGTTAGCATTGATCAAAGTACTAACCACCTCAAATAAACGACCTTCTTGTCTACTCGTTCCTATTGGTTTCTTATTTTGGTCCACGTCAAATGGTTGCCGTCAACCCATCATCGATAATTACCACCAGGTGGACAGTGCACATCTCAACTATCATCCTTACTCGCAATCATGAATCAAAGGTTTGCGGTGGTAAGGTGTAAGTAAGAAATCGGATACGATACTAACGCTCTGTACCTATTAACCTTGCGATATGCCTTGCAGCTGATACACTATGTTTAAGGCTTAATATGGCATTGCCGGGGACATTTTTGCTGATCAGGTTTTCGAGTTTCGTAAACGTGAAATTTAGATCAACATAAAGATTATGTTGGTGAGAAATCAAAATTTTCAGCTTGCTACGCTACTAGGATGCGCTGATGAAGTGTCATTGCGCATTACAAGTCCAAATAAATCAAGGCACGTAGGCAAAACCGATCAAAATTGACTTGTAAGCTAGCAGATAGCTATTTTTTAAAAAGTATCATATACGCATCTTTTTTACGTGTATAGTTTCAGAAGTTTGACGATCTCTAAGCCTTACTGCTCTGTCAAGGCCAAATCTCACAGGACGTTTGGTCCGTTTGTGGACGTTTTATCAAATTCTCGACGAGAGAGTGATGTTGATGAGTTTACGGCGATGAGTGGAGATGTGATGAACTTTGTCGGCAACAGTTCGAACAATCTATAATACAAATAAGCAAGCACAATGACGTCAGTTACGAGTCTTACAACAAAGCTAATAAAGCCAAAATATATTAATTTTACGAGTCGAAGAAACTATCTTTCGAAGATTACGTTGAGAAGGATGTCTTAACAATAAGAGCATGAATTGTATATTGATCGCTTTTCTTCAGCTCGCCAAGCTAAGCATGCTTTAGTTTTACTATGACTGCATCGGCTCTTACCTGGCAATAACTGCTTCAAATTGTAAGTACGTGATCACTTTGATGAGCGTAAACACCAGTTCGTTCGCGAGAGTACAACGTTGAAGTAATCAAGTTTGCTGCACTGCTGCAAGTCAGCGCGACATCCCTAGACTACACATGCTCGAAAGCTAGAGGCAGTCGCCCTGATATTCGGAGCGAAGGTAATTTGCTAAGTAGATAGAGTGCTGTAGCTCTAGACTGAGGCCCTCCAGGTTTTCTCGTTTGCGGGCTTGAAGTCTTCTTTATCTTTACAAAGATCAAACAGTTATGGTGCACTTAAAGAAGGATCAACTGCTGCTTGCATCTTCGAAGTACACTGGGCAATCTTATCGAAGTGACGCCTCAAACTCCCACGAGTTTCGGAGTCGGGATATCCCCGCCACTTCACCAGATATTGGGTTTGACCCTGGTGACG